CCATGTGCAATCGTATTTAAAAACATCACGATCATTTCTTCAATTCCTACGTACTTAGACTTTCGCAAACCATGTTCCTCCAATTTAGTACATAAGAGGTGGAAAACATGTTTATCCACTCTAAACATTTCAGGACATCGATCATCATGCCCATTCATAATGCCTTGTATCCATAAATTTCCTGTTTGCTCACTAGTTCTACAGGGTTGTTTAAACATATACATTTCACAGTAATGACCAACCAATGCACCTACTGCTTCATATTGTGTTAATTCCTCATTAATCATGGATAACCGTCTTGAATGGTCATCTTCATTCCACTGTGAATCATCATTCCAATCCCTCAAAGTATCTTCATTCCACAGTGAATCATCATTCCAATTAGCCATTTCTGGAGTTAACCCTGTAACTATAATAACAACAAAGTGTAAGCATTATAAGGACTACACTAAACCCCATGTAAATAATTTTCATACTGCAAACAGAAAAACCAAACACATAGATGACAATTAGAAATTAGCATAAATATATTACATAGTCATTATTAAAGTTCCTACAACAGGTCACATCAGTTCAGGTTCAAACAGCAAACATTTCAAGTTAACAAGTGCAACAACTAAATCCTATTCTAGAGGTCACTTCCATGTGTCTGGATCTTGTGCTGCCGGTATTAACCATGCCAACAACTTGCTTCTATCATGCATAAACCCCAAATAGGCTCGCCTAGCCCACCTCAACCGCGTAAGCATCTTGGCACATGCATAATATAGTTAATTGTCACCATTAAGCTCCTTAACGGTAGTCAGGTTGCTAAAACCTTGTCAAGTACTTGGGGATCTTCAACCAGTGCTGCTGCTCGCTTGTCAGAAGCAGCTGCTATAATACTAAGGCTATCAAAAATTTTAGTAGATGCGGCAACTTTTTTCTTCTTCTTTACATCAAACGTCTCACCCCTCTTCCTCTTTCCATAGCTTCCTGAGCCACTTGGTCCAGTACTCGCGGGGGTGTTTAAGTTGCAACCAGCAAAGTCATCGGTGAATCCTACATTGGTTGTTGGGTCAACTCCAGAATTTTCATCTTCACTGTCCCTTAACCCTTCCTGTTGGTCCAGGCCAACTCTATAACATCCTCCTCCTCTTTTGTACCAGCCTGTGTCACAGGTGTCGACTGGGGCTGTGAGGTTGATGGTGCGTACATATAGTCTCCCGAAGCCACAACATCTTTGAATATTTTCTGCAGCTCTGATGCAAACATCAACCCCTGATATCTAAATTTCTTGAAATTAGGGTCAACTTACATTACATTAACATAATTAGGCAAAATTAAACAAATTCGTAATGGATATTCAAAATTAAAACTCAACCAACGGAAATAATTACCAGTAATTTTCGTTGCCACCACTCATCGGAGGCCAAAATCCTATTTGTGGCTATATCATAACCAATCTCAGTCTCTCCAGACATCAGTTTATCCCACAATTTCCAATCTTTTCACAATATATCACATCTATTCTTCAATTGCCTCTTGTCATACATTCTCCCGCTCCTTCCTTGAAAGTTCTTTTCAATTTTTCCCCAACCGGGCCTTATAAATGATGTTTTTTGTTGTTCCTTGTGCACTATTTGCTCGGCACAAACATCGATTAGAATCTTTGTCGTGTAAGGATCCCATGTCGCTTTTCCCTTATCATTGTCCATTTCTTTATCCTTTTGATGGAAACAAAACTAATTGAATCAACCAAAACCCTAAATATGTAATAATGAAAGCCACATTATGTAATCACCAAACAAACATATATACTATTTTCTTAATATTATTGTAAATGCATTTGTTATCAAAACTCCAATTATTATTATGAAGTCGTCAAATATTAATTAACACATTATAATTGCAAAAACTGTTTTGCTTTCTTATTCAAAAATTTCTTAAACTACAAACATTTAATCAGTGGTAACAGGTTGTGAAAATTTTTTCAAAACTCAATTAATCAATTGTTTTTCTTATTGTTTGAAAAAAATTGTTCATCTTTGAATTAGAACTGCCATATTTTAACAGAAACTTAATTAATAATGACTTAATTAATAGAAATTTAATTAGGGAAGACAATTCAGTAGTTAATTACGTTATTAAAAACCAACATTATAAGGACTAAAAAATTGTTATCAAATTACTTTCTTCAATCTATTTCACATAAAACCACTGAATGATCAGTGTAACACTCTGATATACACTTCAATCTATTTCTTTCAAAATTCCAACACCATTGCAACCGAATGATCAGTGTAACACTCTGATATACACATATACACAAGCTCATATGCATGTACACAATGACATATCCAGAATGATCATCACAAGCTCTACGTTCTGCTCCAACAGACAGTCGTTAATTCACCTAAAACCACTAGCAAGCAGAGCCACGCGACGTCGGAAAACCAGAAGGCAAAAAATAAAAAGATCCACCAGCCAACAGGAACAGAGGACCACAAAAAACCACGATGGTGATGAGAAAAACATCACACCACTGGCGAACAGAGGCTGGCGACCATGAAAAAACCAGAAGGAAACAAAATAAAAACAACCACCGGCCAGAAACAGAGCACCACAACAAACCAGACGGAAAAAATAATAAACTGAACAGCGGCGATAGAGAACTCTTGACTTCCACCGGCAACAGCAAATTCAAGCAAGAATCAAACCAGAAAGGAAAGAAAAAAATTTACTGCCCAACCTGTAACAGATCAATCAAATCGAAGGCAGCCAGAGATAGATCCCACGGTGTATCAGACTGGCAAGACAAGATCTCCACGCACAGCTCAAAACCACAGGCAGACGGCGGCGACCTCGGTTGCAGATAGCGGGACTAGCTCGGACTTGCAAGGAAGAAGCACCTCCAACCAACCATGGACACCTCACACCCACGACGCGAAGCTCATGACGATGACAAGGCCACAGCTCACGGCGACCAGAGAGGGACCTTTAGCGGGGCGATTAGCGACGGAGATGGCGTGCGACTCCTCGGTGAAAAAGAAATGAAAATGATGCTTATGAGAGGAAAAGGCAAATGGGAGAGGAAAAAAGGACCTGAGTACCTGACATCGCAGAACGGGCAATAGCATTTCTCTTCTTTCTTTTTTTTCCGCCAAAAGCTCTTCTAGGTTAAGCATAAGCTCCTTCTTGCAGCTTATGGGAATTGGGCGTTCTATCAAGCTTTTTTCACATAAGCCCAATTGCTTTTAAGCTCTGCCAAACAGGTCCATGTTGCAACCCAGCTTATTTTAAAATCTAAGCTGATTTTAAGTGAATCCAAACAGACACTGAATCAGGTTTAAACACGTTTTAGGCTCAAAAATGCTAATCCAAACATACACTTGGGTCCGTTTGGCAGATGGTCAAAACCATGGTTTGGGTCAAAAATTTGCCAAATGGAAAAGAAATCAGCAAACCACGATTTTGGGCCAAAAACCATAGTTTTAGAAAAATTAAATCCATTCTACTTCTGGCTCAAATTGGAGAATATGATTGTACCTATCAGAGTAAATCTCAACAGTAATATAACTTTAACACCCTTCAATTATTTTTTTATAAACATATTTAATCTTATAATTTATAAATATATATAAACATATTAATTATTTATTAATTACATTATCTTATATATTATCAATTATGTTAGTAAAAAATATATTATTAACAATTTTATTCCTTCAAATTAAAATGTATTATAAAATCTATTTTTTTTTATGTAATTATCATATTAATTTATATCTTTTTTTGGTAATTTGCATACATAAAAAGTGTTTCTGATAACAACTATCCAAATACTCTCACTTTATCAAAATCACTTTTTCATAAAATCTATTCTTTATGAAGTCTATTCTTCCAAAAATATATTTTTCAGAAACTATTCTCTAAACCATAGTTTGATTTCATCTAAACATACACTTGATCCATTTACCTATTGAATAGATATTTAGAAGTCACAATTTCAACTTGGATAAATGAAAAACATTCATGCCCTTGGGACTGCGTAATTTCTACGTTGTTATGCTATTAACAACTTTCCCATTTTACCAATTTAAAAACGAAAATAAACTACTACGTATTTCACACGTCAAAAAATGGTCAAATAGGCAGAAAGCATAGTTTTAATAAATACGTAATTACTAAGCTAAAACTTATTAAGAAATTTTTTAAATAATTTAAGAGAGTTATATAAATGTGAATAAAAAGCTATTTAAAGAAACAAAAGATGCCAATAACCTTGTGACATAGTAGTATAAAGACTCCTGTAAATAGGAGATTGTGGGTTATTTAGGCCAATGTACCCACTCCTCTAATTGAAAAAAAGGAAAGAAACAAAAGATGGAATCTCTCATTTCTCAAACTTGCATAATACATAAAAGATCCATGAAGTTAAAAAGGAAAAAAAAAAAAAGACAAGTTGATCATGTGGTTGAGGTTGCTTGCATTGTTTTTTTTTTGGTGATTGCGCACATGTATAAGCATTTCTTTCTTTGTGCTAAGCAATTTAAAGTGAAGGATGATGAAAGCATCAAAGAAATGTTTCATTCCCAATTCAAACCCTTGCACCAAAACAAGAACAGCCTCCACATTCAAAGCCTCTGCTCTGCCATTAGCAAAAAGCCAAAAACTTATTTGACTTGCATATTACTCCCTCCGCTCTCATACATCATAAACTTCAATATCTACGTTTATTTTTGTATGACTTGTCATATTTTTCACATAGTTTGTAGAGCCATACCCATAAGCACATAACAAAGTTTCACAAAACAAACACATTCTAATCCCTAATTTTTTTGGCCATAACTCACACACCCATTATATCTTCCATACAATGTTCGAACTCACAACCTCACGCTTTAAAAAAAAAAAAAATCTTAAATTGAGGTGCTTGGCATCATTTGTTCTACAAGGCTTTGTAAAAGGGATTCTCAGAAAAAAAGGAAAAAAAAAATCTCTCAGCTTCCCCCATTGCTCTACAAACTTCTGTATTGGCTTCTTGCTCCCACCTATATAATGTCAAAAGAAAATAGAAAAGCTTAAAATTAACCATTAAGGTATGTTCAGGAGTTAAAAGGGGGAAAAAAAAAAAAAAAACTCCATTTCACCATCTCTCTCTCTCTCTCTCTCCTCACATTTTACTCCATTTACTACAGGGGATGTGAACTTAAAAGAGCTTCAAATTTGTTGTTTTGCATATTAGATAGAATAACGAGATCTTGTAACTGAATTTTTTTTTTCTTACCTAGTCGATTGAATGAACTGGGTGTTTGGACGCGACCCGAAAAATTGTTACTTGAAATCTGAATTTCTCAGTGAGCTCAAAGTCACAAACATCACCTACTTTCAAGTCATTATCCTTACAGAATTGCTTCCATCCCCAAGAAAATTGAGCACTTTGTTGATGTTTATCATAACTTCTGAAAGCGTACCCAACAGTCCAATCTTTATCTTGTACAATAAGTGTGACACTCTTAGGACCATTACGAAGATGTGCTTTTGCAAATTCAATTGGCACGTACTGCCAAGGAAAGTAAAGAAAAAAACAATAATTAGCAAGTGATGACTTAGGAAGCAAGAGTACCCCAATAAAGGAATAGTGTCCATGTCAACATATGTCAAACAACTAAAATTAGATATATGACGCTTCAATTACACATGGACACTTTAAACATTGATGTATTGAGACATTAAAAGCACTTGGTAATCACAATTTTTTTGGGTAAACTCTTTAAATATTGTATTTATAAGGACCAAAAGCATAGCTTATCCATAAATAAATAATATGGCCCTTATCTTATTGCCATTTACCTAAATTAAAAATGCTATCAATCAATCAAAGTTTGCAATTATTATTCATCCTACTATGCAAAGTTTCTTTTGTTCAATTGACCAACAAAAAAAAAACTCTGTAAAAGTACGCATACAAGTCCACTGAAAGAACAAAAACTCTAAAAGAAATAAGGATAATAAAAGGCTTACCACGTATGATGTGCCATGGATGTGAGCGCAAGTCATCATTACCATAAAATGAGGATTTTCAGGTTGGGAAGAGCTATCCTTTTCAAGAGGTCGATGTTGCATAACCTTTTCCAGAGGTGGATGTTGCATACCCTTTTCAAGAGGTGGATCTTGCATACTGCTACTCTGCTCCTTTTCAAAAGAGTTTACTTTCAGATTTACTGCAAATGAATGCAAGATTACAAGTCCCCTCTTTCTGCTTTTAACTATAAATCATCCAAAGTAAATGGAATTCATCAGGACAGATAAACCAATTCACAAATTTAATACCTTTTTCAGCATCTCTGAAAATATGTACTTTCAACGAGAGATCAATCATTTCAAATACACAAACATGCCCCACTTCCAAACCATTTTCTTTCACAAACTTCCTCCAGCCTTCTCCAATTTTCGGAAAGTTATACTTAGCATGCCAAATTCTCCCATCCAAGGTCTTAAGTTGCACAACTTCACACTCTTCCTTCAAATGTTTTCTAGCAAATTCTTTCGGTATTGGCTGTGAAGAGAAGATTAAAAATTTGAGATCAAAGAGGAATAGTTAATGCTTGCACCAAATAAAAGCTGCAAATAAGTGTTTTACAGTTTTGGAAGAAGCTAACTGGATTCTAAGAAAAAGCTCACCAAGTAAGATTTAGGAGAGACATATGAAGGCTGCATGACCATCATGAAATAGGGATTATCAGATTTGAAAGAAATGGCACTTTCCAAAGCTTTGTTCTTTTCCACATCAGTTAACATTTTCTTCCTTTTATGCTCAGAATTCAGACATTTATTCTTGTCGAAAATTCTTGCTTCTGTGTCTCCTGTACAATTTTGAGCATTGTCATAGAAAACTTTGATTTTTAAGCCAACTTCAGTCCCCACAAGACAATTCAATCCACAAAATAAAAAGGTAAAGCAAATCACGAAGCACAAACCTTCAGATTTCTGCTTAGAAAATTTCAAGTCTGCATTGATTGATTTCTGAAATTTTGTTCCTTGAAATTGCCAGTTTTTAGTTTTCATGCCCGCTGGCATACTCATTTCAACATCTTCATCTGCAGTACTTCTCATTTTCTTATGAGGCCTAGAAGATGACAAGGGCGCATTTTGACTAGCCTCAGGGCTTGGAGTTGTCTCATCCAAGATGTCAATTATATCATCACTGAGATTATCAAGGTTATCCTCTTGACTAGAGGCATACCTAGATAAAGGATAATCTATTTCTAGGGCGCTCTTGTCAATTATGTGTACGTGAAGCTGAGAAGTTCCTTCATATTTGAACAAAACCAAAAAACCATCATCTAGAGAATAAAAGTTAGCAAATTCCTTCCATCCCTTTTGAAACCAAAATTCATTATCACGTTTTGTCCAATACACTCTCCATTCTTTACCATCAGGAGGCTTCAGACTCACTGGGTTGGACAAACATCTTCCATATCTCCCTGTAAATTTGCTTGGAATCATCTGTCAAGAAATGATAATGAGTAACTGATAGTCTGGAAATATATAAGTACATATTTGTATAGCAGCTCTCTAGTTCTGTCATATTAATGAACAATGATCTACAAACGAACCGAAAAAAGTAAAAGAGGAAAGAAAGTTGACAACTTTTGAACTTAAGGATGCTATGTGTTCTCCTATTCTTCCAAAAAGACCATGCTCAAGAGCAAATGCACTGTTATAGTTCTTGTTTTTAATAACTAAGACTCCAGAATAATGATGGAAATATATCAATTCAATTTCACAAAATCTCTCCCCCTCCCACTCACCCTCCTCCTCCTCGCTTTCTCGTTTGAGCGTGCGTATCCTTGAAGATATTTCAATTTCAAGGGAGCTTGATCAGAATTTTAAGCATAAAAGATCCATAAGAGACTATCCATTTCCAATGCATGATAATGAAGAAGAGTCAGAGGAAAGCGAATGCGAGTTTCAGGATTTCCATTTCTGGAAACTTTAATTCTGTCAAAAAGATGATATTTTTTTTAAAACAAATATGCAGTGATTCGAAGGGAAAACCCTGCTCATATGTTCATAGCAACACATAAACAAGAAGAAAGGAGCAATCTTTCACATGCATTTGGGTACATAAAGCTATAAACAAACAGAACATGGAAAAAGAGAAGAGCGAGGAGGAGGAGGAAGAAAACATCAAAGGGAAGGAAGAAGGAAGGAAGGCTTACAATGGTTTCATGATAGGCTTTCTTGATGACTCTGTAGAAGTGGATGGGGCTGCACGGGTCCTGAGAATGAGAAGCCATGGTCATGGGGTATGTGTGTGTGAGGGGGAGAGAGCTTTTGCTTCAACAGCAAGAAGCTTTCATCAGTGCTCTGCTCTCTCCGACAGCTAAGCATTTCTTTGGCTAATTACCATTTTGCCCCATAATAATATACTACCTCCGATCTTGAATATAAGGCTCTGTTTGACTTTCATTTTGATCCTAAATATAAGATCTCAATTCATTTTGTCTCTCATATTTATATATTTTTTTTCAAAGTAGCCCTTCTAACAATGATAGTTCTAGTCAAATGCACTTGATTCATAATGATATTTTAAGAAAGACAACACCTATTTAGGACAAATAACTAACTCAACTAACTTCTTTAATCTCCTCAAATTATTCAATTGGCTCTTATAATTAGGACAGGAGGTAGTATATAGAAAAAAATTTTGCAAAAAAAAACCCTGAAACTATCATTTCTTAATTCAAGTACTAACAGTTGAAAATGACGGAGAAGAAAGTAGTGTCTAGTCTGGTATTTTATAAATATAGTTAAATGACTAAAATACCTTTATCATATTTGAAGAAAAAAGAAGTTATCAAATTTGCTATTCCCAGTACATTTTTTATAATTAGCTGTTCAATATTAGTTATTGTCAATTCACAACTTATTAATAAATAACTTATCATTACCAATATATTTTTTGTTATTCGCTATTCAACACTTGTCATTCTCAATTCAAAATTTTAAAATAAACTTTTTAATATAAGATTATTTTAGTTATTTAACTACATTTGTAAAATACTATACAAAGTACCACTTCCCTTTCTCTCATTTTCAGTTCTTAGATGACTGATTTGAAATATCATATTTTTCAACTTTTTTATTTGTTATTTTTCTTTTTATATATTTCTTCAATTTTTATTTTAAAGTATAGTATGTGTGAATAAAAAATGAATCATATGACATGAAATTTTACACACGTACATAAAAATGTATATCTGTTTTAGATTTTAAAAACTGTGTGACTGTGAGTAAAATATGCATACTCCTAAAGTCCTAATCCCTTAGTTTCGTATGCCTATACACGCACAAATGCACACATAAAACTGTTTCACCTTTTTTTAGTCAATAACTCCTTTTTTAATGAAACCGATAACTCCTTGTTTTAATTTACAGGTTCCAATCTAGCAGTTATTGTGCTTTTTGACTGATGCTGGTTATGAAAAACTGGTGGAACTTTTTAGTCTCTTTTCTACTTTTGCAGTATATTTATTAATATTAATGTATGTTTGTATTTTCAATTATTGTCTACTGTCAGTTGTGATTTTACATTCTGACTGAATTTTGTGCAGGTTGCTGACTATAGTTTTTTTTGAAAGAGTTATTGTGTTTCTTTTCCCGTCACGTTACCTTTTTTTAAATAATTGGTGCTTTCTCTAATTTTAAATATAAAAAATAACTAAATTATACAGATGAAGAAACACAGTTGAGCTTAGAGAACACTTTTCTAATCTTATTTACAAGCCAGAGAAGGAAAAAAAAATGTATGAGACAGATAGACAATTTTTTTATATAAATATATAATTTCACATTTCATTGATTATTGTGTTGATTTTGTTCTCATGGGATGTAATGTATATTAAATAAGAATAAAATTAAAAATTTATTAAATTTTAAATAAGAATTAATAAAATTTTAATATTTTTCTTAATTTATATAAAATATATTAAAAATAACTTATAAATAAAATTACACGAGAATCTGAATTTCAACCACAGATCTCAATAAATGCGCCACGCTTCTACTATCTACTTTTTCTGAATTAATGAAGTGTATGATGGGAAAAACTGAAGAAACGCACCACATATCTTTCCATTTTTGTTTATAAGTTGGACCGAAGAAACACAGTATTTTCGTGGATATTTACAGCTTTTTAATATTTATTATATAATATTCTCTTTTATTTTGAATATTATTATAAACCTTGCATATGTGATCTCCATAATCCCCAGCCCGATTCTTCTTAGAATTTTTTAAGCTTTGAATGTCTTATACTCATAAAATCCCTTTCATGAATGACCTGAGAGGAATTTTTTATAGCTAATGTTATTATGTTCCCTTTTATTTCATTGTAACATTAGTGTTAGGATTTAATAATTAGGAGACCTATAAATAGAGATTATGTACAAGGCATTGGTACGTGAATGAAAAATTCTTCCTTATTTTTTCTTCTAATAATTTCTTGTTTTCTCATTTTTATAACAAATATAAATATTTTTGTATATGTTCATTTCTCATTCATTTTACATTTCTCATAGGTTTATTATTGACTATTTATATTTCTAACGATAAATGGCAATAATATTATGATTGTAAACTTTTATGATAAATTTGTTCTAAGATAACTTCCGAGTGCTCAACACTCCTGAATGAAAACTTCACAAATTTCCATCTTAATCATGTATATTATCTGATGTTACTTAGGGGCATTCATAAGTAGCATGCTTCAAATCCAGAGGGAGAGGCAAGTGCCAACAAGGTGATGAAGCATGTCATTCAGGAAAATGTGCATGATAACGTTAATGCAGATTTATTAAATTTATTGAGTTAATGTTTTATAATTAGAAGCCTATAAATAAAAATTTAACATAAAACGCACAAAGATTATATTCAAAGTGAATGAAAAGCAATCTTCCATTTTTTTTCTTTTCCAAAATTCTCATACTATCAAATTGTTTATATTCTCATTAGTTTTTTTCCCCCCTTAACGGGGCAATGACTTTAACAAATGGCTATTATTGCCTCGGTCTTTATTTATAAAACTTTATAAGTCACAAGACATTACCAAATCACACGAGTAATTAAAATATTTTTTCTTAAATTTTACCAAAAAATTATCTTCCTTTAATACCCCTTATTAGTGATTAAATTACACGTCATGGTTAGCCAACAAAAAAAAAATGTCACCCTCTTTCCTAATAAAAAGGACCATTTGATTGAAGTTGAAAAAATAACGACATTTTTTTCGCCAAAAAGAAAATAATGGCATCAATATCATATCAACCATCAATATAACTAATAAATCTCTTTTACTCAAACCGGTCCGAATTGTAGCCTCATCTTGGCTCTAGACACAAATCACTGTTCATAAGAAAAAATGGTTTGATGGGCAAACAAAAATATTGCATCGGCCTTTATTTTAGCCAAGTTTTGCATGACTTTAGACACAAATCACTGTTCATAAAAAATACGGCCTGATGAATAAACAAAAAAGTTGCATCGGCTTTTGTTTTAGCCAAGATTTTAAAATTTATATAGTTAATCTGTTCGTAGTACTCTAAAAAATTACGACTCCATCCTGGTCAAACGTTCCGGTCATCAACTCAATGAAAATGAATATGTGCAAGCTGAGTCCTCGGGATCTTCCCAATGGCGTCGCGTCGATGAAGATTTCCTGGTTAGAGGCTCCGGTCATCAGCTCGATGACCACCTGCAGAGTGGTAAACTGAGGCACCCACCACGTCTTAGCATCGGACATATTTTTTCATTATCGAAGAGAAAAATAAATGGAGAATATTCTGACATGGATAATTATTATCCCAGCGGTTCATTAACTTGTTCAAATAAGCTCTATTCCTCAGCTTATTTTTAATTGTACCTTTGCATAGCTTTTGGCCCTTAAGCTCGCTTTCCAAAAGCTATGCCAAACCAGATCAAATTTTTCAATGGGGTTTCTCCTCAAAATAAGCTCCTTATGGTTCAAAATAAGCTCTCCTAACCCCGTGGGGTTAGGTCGACTGGCTGGGGTCATCCTAGCTTAACCACGGATCTCGGATTCGAGACGTGGGAACGCAGCACTCCAAGGGGCCAGGGGGCGCCGTCCGTATGGATCCTTGCAAGCCCCCGAATCCGGATTAGTCTGGGGACGTTGTCACGGCTAAAAGACGCCTATTTCCCTGGGATACCGGATGGAGTAATCCAAAAAAAAAAAAAATAAGCTCTCCTAAACAGGCACCATATGTTGCCTATTAAGTAAGCTTTGCTACATAAGTGAAGCAGATGTCCTCATACATCGAGATGGGAAATATGGCTGAACCTAAAGGCATAGCTGCAGGACCTCTGCAGTGATTATTTAATCATATTGAACGGCTTATATGTTGCTCATTTGTTCATGCCAAAAAAGTTCCCATTTTCATTTTGCTTTCATTGTAGCATCTAG